TTAGCGCAAGTCTAAGCCTGTTGTAGGGCAGTGACCTGGTGAATTCCCAAGAGGAATTTGGGCACTAAGTGCTTTTCGGGCCCTAGCAAGGAAAATGATGAGGCACCTCTGGATTGTGACTGCAGGCTGAGGAGGCAGGTGAGTTTGTGCCAAAAGCCCTGTCAGTGCCCTTCAGGATACTGGAGAGACAGAGGTTCCTTGCAGGAAGTCACCTTGGGTCTGTGCTCCTGGAAATGAGTCACTCCTGACCAGTCTGATAAACCCCATGTCTGGTGTTAAACTGGGTCTGGGTTCAGGTTGGGTTGGCCTTGTTTCTGCTTACACCCCCCCCCACCCCCCCCACCCCCCCCCCCCGCATCATCAGCACTTCATCAGTTCTCTCCAGCCAAGAGAATCTTCTTGAGGACCTTTCCCCGGAGGGCATCAGCCTGCAAAGTGGGACAGCGCCTCCCCACTGTAGTGAGAGGGCACCTCAGGGGCTCTGTGGGCTGCAGGGTTTTCTATGGGGCTGTTTGAGGGGAAGGCATCTTCAGCTGCAATTAGACATCGTCATTCCCAGGACTTGGTAACAGTGGCTCCCAGGTGGGAAGTAAATTCCCACTGTTGTATTTTCTTGATGTCTAAAAGGGAAGATGATGTAAGGAGTCTGAGATACAGCGTCTTTTCATCGCAGAACTTTAAGGTACAGATTGCAAAGTGCTTTGATAAAGGTAAGTGTTGTAACCCCTGCTTGATAATTAGGAAACAGAGGGCAGGGAGCCAGGTGGCTTTACCATTGCAGCGAGTCAGCAGAAAAGCTGTGAATCACATCACTGCCTCTGATGACTGCTTTCCCTTCCCCCAATTATTTGTATAATTGTGCTTACCACATGTCCAACTTGAGGAGACTGATTGCCTGCTTGATGGTGTATGGAAAACTACCGTATATACCAGCTTGTAGAGCACCTAGCCATGCAGTAGCCTGCTGTGGTTGTAAGGTGGTGTCTGACCTCACCCCCAGCCCAGAGGTGCAACCTTTGAAGACCAGGGACTGGTCTTCAAGACAGGTATCCTGAGACCGTGCATGTCTTCTGATGTCTTCTGTCCTGTGCTGCCTGCAGGACCCCTGCCCAGGCACTGCTGAAGAGTTCAGTGCCTGTACTTGTTCTTCACAGAGCCTGCACTGTTTCACAGGGGCTGCTAGACCAGGGTAGCTTAAAAAAAGAGAAAAAATCTGAGGATTGTTATCATGGCTTGTTGCCAGTGTAAATTGAAAGCCTTAATAGTGTACATAGGGCCAATTACAGTACATCAAGGTATGATTTCATCTTTACTGGCACCCCCCAGGGAGCCAGGAGACGTCGTGGCAACAGGATTATGGTTTGCAGATGATGTGCATGGTAACTTCACTTAGATACGTGCACCTGTTTCCCTCACTAAGCAGATGTTCAGGAGGCTGTTAAGAGAACATCAGTCTTTTGACAGTGCAGCAGAAAGTGCCGCGTAGCCGTGTTCACATCATTGTGCCTACCACCTCCACTGCCTGACAGAGGGCTGGAGCAGCCCTGCCCAGGCACACTGGAGCCCCAGCCCCTGGGGCAGAACACATCAGTTCATCATTTGAAAACCAAGCCCTTTCCTGGCTCTCTGCTCAGGCAAATCCGTAAGCCAGGAAAGGGAGTTTCCCTGTGTCAGGAGGGCAAGATTTGGCTGGCTCAGTGCCTGGGGTCTTGCAACCTCACTCATTCACCAGCAGCGACAGTCATTTCCATGTCATGGCAGGCATCTTTAAGCATGACCTGGCAAGTTGCATGGGGCACAGAGAGACCCACCCTGTGCTAGAGTAGACTTACTACCAGGTTGGAAAGAGTGTTGTATTGTACCATTACCCTCACCATCACCCTGGACCACCAACTTCAGGATTATTTCTCCCCTATCCTTTTTAAATCATTTTCCCCAAATGCAAAATGAGCCTTTTGGATTAGTTTGCATATCTGTGAATGATGGCTGATGATCATCCCTGTGGGAAGGCAGAAGCACAAGCTGCCCCAGAAAGCTTCCTGTGTCCTAACCAGACTGTGGCAGGAGATCTCTCCCCTGCATGAGCCTGAAAACCTGGCTGTAGCCCAAAGGTGAAGTTGCCCCAAGGTAACCTCTGTGCCACAGTGCTTCCGACTCAGCAGTTTTCAGCCTGTGGTCTGTAAAAGATGTGAATTGTTTCTATAGGATCTGCAAAAGGTAATGAAGAAGAGGTAAGTATGCATTTACTATGAGGAGCCAGTGCCTGGGCAGGAAAGCATTTGGTGTTCACAGACTGGAAAATACTGAGAATATCCTCTCTAATTCTGTGGGAGGAAAACAAAACCTGTACTTGCATCTTCCGTGGTGTGCCTCCGTTAGGAAAGTAAGTCATGTTAGATGAGGCAGGGGTGTCATTACCTATCACAGATAATCTAGGGGAAACTCCACACACAGTGTAGGACCCTGTGCAAGTGCGTGCAGTCTAGCAAAGAAAAGACCTGTAATTCCTGCCAGGGCCTGCTGCTCCAGCTGACAGCAAGCAGGAGAAGCAATCATCTCATCAAGATCTGGGGGGGTCTCTGTACATGAGTACGCAAATTCCTGGATGCTGGCTGTAGTGGCTGCCAAGGAGGGCTTGGAGAGCTGGGGGATTTACGATCTCATTTTTGCCATAGTTAATAAGATTTATTCCCCATCACCCTCACCCCCACAATAGAATACCTCTTACCAAGTGTCAGATGGAAGCAGGGAGAGCTGCACGGACACCAACCAAGAGCTCACAGATGATCTCAGGGATCCATGCACAGCAAGAATTGCCATGATTATGGTGTGGGAACAAGCTTTCACTGCTTCAGTGAAATACATCTGTCACATGTGAGGTGCAGGTCTGTCGCCCCAAACACCAGGCTTAAAACTGGTCCATGCCCATCCTCCTCGTTTTCATCTCCTGGAGTTGCCGTGATTTGGGAAGAGCACTGGAAGGGGTGCTTGCGTCTCAGCTGCTCTGTGCATACCCTGGCTTTGTCTGTGTGTGTGTTGATATTGAGCAACCCCACCATACACAGCATGTGTATGTACTGCATTTTAATAGATATAGGACTACTGACTTAACATACATGGTTGCTATAGTAACAGAGGTTTCCTTAGTAACGGTTGCAGAAAATAATCTGGTACCAATTAAAAATAAACTGTTTGGAAAGGGGGCTGGGGAAGAAAGGAAACTGCTGAGAATCACCTTCCCCCTTATTGGTTCATCTCCCAGGGACTTGGAAGATTGATTAATGCTCAAAATAACCTTTCTTAACCAGTGGTGAGCTGAAAAGGTGGGATGAGTGTGGCTGCAGTGGCTAAAGCTGCTGTCCTGGATGAAACAAAGGGGAAAGAACGTGTCTGGGGTATGGCAGAAATACAACAGGGTGATGCTAAATCTCTCCATTAGGTTGAAGTATTCAGGGTGGAAAGACAAGGGACTATTTCCCTTCTTCCTTCTGTCCACTCTCTGTGTGCCATACCCCTTACACAGCCATTGGGTCTTTATTAGCGCACTGATTAAAGCCACAGGCAATCAATTTAACAGAATGCCTATCTCAGATGCTGTCTTAGAGCAGAACTTGTCACTGTGGCGGGAGTTCATCCCTCCCATTTGAAGTTTTTTGCCTGCGCCCATCCTATAGCTCATCTCTGTCACTCATCACTTGTGCCGACAGGCATCCAAGACCCTGGGCCCAAGGGGAGCTGGAAGCAAAGCCAGGATGCAAAGTGAGGAGCCCATGTGTCGGTGAGAGAGAGGAGACAGCATTGCTTCCTCACAAACAGAGGATGTGTGGGATGGGTTTCCAGGGTGTGGGTGTGCACAGCTCCCCTGGCAGCCTGCAGTTGTTTGTGCCTGTGGTGCCACACTTATGTCGTGCCACTCGTGCCCAGGGCACTCGCTAGGTTAAGAGAGTCACCAGCTGTCAGCAGAATTCCTTCGCTCTGCAATGGGAGAGCATGCCCCCTTTCAGAGGAGAGCTGCCATGTGAGGGGAGGTGAAGGAGGAGAGGTGGTGTGTCTCACCAGGAGCTGGTCCTTTCCTCCGGTCTGTAGCCAGCAGTGCTCCCAGGCAGGCCAAGCACAAGTGTCACAGGAGGGCACTTCATGTCCTCCCCCACAGGAATGCCCTGGGTCAAAGGCTTGGGTGACAGGCGCAGCCTGAGCACACACAGTGGAGGCTTCATCTGCTCCTGCAGGGACAGAGGAATGGGAAAACCAGTGTGGCGCTCTCCTTGCAGGGACAAGAGCCAGTGAGGCCGCCGTGTCATCCTCGACACTGTGTGACTGGTTAACTACCCATGTGGGAAATGCAGTTGCTCTTGGGAAGCTAGGGTAGGTGATATGCCTGTATCTTGTCCTGGAGCAGTCTGTGCTTCACCTGGAGCCAGATTTCCTGGCTGCTGGAGCTTGCTCGCTGCTAATCCCTTCCAGTCTGGTGCTTGCTCTTCTTTGCCCATGGTTTGGTCCCCTAGCTACTGCATGTCTGTGGGTTACACTTCACTGACGTGGTTGGCGTGTGACAGCAGTAGAGTCTCGTTTAATTCACCCTTCATGGAGATGGCTTTCTCTGTTGACCAGTTTCTCTGTTCAGCAGTTTATTGCTCTGAGGTGCAAGTGGTATGATTTTTCCATTAAAAAAAAAAAACATTGAATATGGGTGTAGTCTTATTGCTAGATTTGGTGCCTTAGATCACAGTGAATTAAGAAAGGGAGTCTTTTAAATGACAAACTGTGAAAAAGCAGCCTGTTGCTTAAGGACATAGTGGGAGCATCTACAAGTAGAGCCAGGGGTGAAAGAAGAGAGATTTGTTAGGAGAACATTGTCTCAAAGGTACAGGTAAGACACAAGCAAGAGCTGCCATGCCTGTAGTTGGGGCAGGGCTCCGTGGTCCTCCCCACACGAGTTCAGTTTCTTTTCCATGTTAATGACCCACCTCTCCTCATCCTTCCCTGTTCTTCCCTTGCAGTGACCAAGCTGCAGGTGAGCAAGTCAAAGCGGAGCATCACTCTGGTGGAGAACCATCCCATCCCACTCAACTGCTCAGTGAAGTCCCAGACCAGCCCTGACTCGCACTTTGCTGTGCTGTGGTATGTCCACAAGCCCTCTGATGCCGATGGCAAGCTCATCCTGAAGACCACCCATAGCTCAACTTTTGAGTATGGCACCTATGCAGAGGAGGAGGGGCTGCGGGGCCGGCTGCAGTTTGAGCGCTCGGCGTCAGGAGGGCTCTTCAGCCTGACAGTGCAGCGGGCAGAGGTCCGAGACAGTGGCAGCTACTACTGCCACGTGGAGGAGTGGCTGCTCAGCCCCAACCACGCCTGGTACAAGCTGGCAGAGGAGGTGTCGGGGCGCACAGAGGTCACCGTCAAGCAGCCAGGTACCACGTGAGGTCTCTTGGCACCGACTGTTGTGCAGGGCCCATGAGCTTGACAAGCTTTTGTGAGGCAGCAGGGATGCTTTGCACTTCTTTCCACTACAGCCTTGTCACCCCCTCCTTGCATCCTCATGCCTGCATAATCCCTGCACAAAGAGGGATGTTTTCCCCGTTTGATGAGCCCCTTCTCCATTTAGTCTTAGTTGGCATGCATTTGAGTGTCCCCACGTCAGGGTTGGCTATCCCCTGTGATCTAGAGGGCTGCTGTGTCCAGCCAGGTTTCTTTATCCTCAAGAGCATCATGTAGCAAGAGTGTCGACTAGTGACCTAGTGAGAGAGAACTGGCATGTGCCTACCTGGGAAAGCATTTTATGCTTTGCACACAGTTTAATTTTACTCCGTGCTGTATCCTGTCAGGCTCAGGGAGCCTTGTCTCCTTTTCCTGTGTGCTGTACACATGACATGTGAGTTAACAAGTTTAATGAGGTGGGGAGCTGGCTGCCAGGAAAGGAGAAATCTGCTCTGCTAGTGTTTTCCTTGACAGTGGGCATCACTGATAAAGGTGGGCTGACAGAGGAGCATTTTTAGTTCCCACAAGCCCCCACAAAGCTGGGGACAGAGCTGCTCACTGCCGGTCCCAGCTCCTCATTTCTGTGAGATGGCTGTGGAGTTGTTAGGGAGGACGGATCTGTGATCTGTCCCCTCCTTTGCATCACCTGCTTCTCTCTGGGAAGTCCAGTGTGGGTCACTGCAGAGGCTGTACCAGGGAAGTCCAGACTGCCCATGGAAAGAAGTCATGAAGGAGTTATGAGTGACACATCATTTCGCATAAAAGAGCTGATTGCAGTCACCCACCCTCTACCCTCCATGTATCAATGAAATTGTGGAGTGAAAATCAGGGAAATTCCCAAGACAGCAGAACATCATGTCTGACTTTGCCCTCCTGACACTTCTCATTTTGCAGTGATGGTTCCCTATAATGAGCCACCCACCCTCTGACTTGTTTATTTCTGTTTTCCCACAAAAGGAGGGCTTACTGGTCGGGGTGTGACCAGGCTACTGCCCTGCCACAGGAGGGTGAGGAAAGACTGAGGTGTGACCTCTCTTCACAAGGTGTCTGCACTTAGGACCCCCCAGGTGTTACTGGGAGATTGTGGGTTTCCGATTCCTTGTGCTGAATGAGGCATTGTTGGTGGTTAGCCTGAGATTTTCAGAAGACCCTAAAAAAAACACAAATCCCATTTTCTCTTCCTCTTCTTATGTTTGGTTTTGGTTTTTTTTTCCCCATGGATTTTTTTTAACTCCCCTTCCTCATTTCTTTCATCACACCCCAGGACTATGGCCATGCACGAAGTGCTTGTGGGGAGACAAAGGACCCTTTGCAGCCCTGAGTCACCTTGCATTTCTCATGGCCTTTTCCCACAGATAACCGCCTGCAGGTGAACCAGACCCACGGGAACATCACGGTGCTGGAGAACCAGTGGGTGACCCTGGAGTGCATGGTCAGCAACAGGACCAGCCCCTCATCCCAGCTCTCAGTGGAGTGGTACGTGTGGCGGCCAGGCCACCCGGAGAAGGAGGTGGTGGCCCGGCTGAGCCAGCAGAGCATCGTGCGCTACGGGGACCTGGCGGCGCTGGGCAACCTGCGGAGCCGGCTGCACCTGGAGAGCCCATCCCCAGGTCTCTACCTCCTCTCCATCCAAAATGCCACCGTGCAGGACAGTGGAGCCTATGACTGCCGCGTGGAGGAGTGGCTCCTCGACCCCAGCGACCACTGGTACAAGCGGGCAGAGGACCTCTCTGGACTCATCACTCTCACTGTCAAGCAGCCAGGTGAGGAGGATCTCGTACCAACAGCTTTGAGCAGCGCTCTGCCATCTTGGGTCAAACACACAAGTCACCATCTGTCTGTCACTGACAGCAGGTCCAGGCAGAGGGCAGGACCACCAAGCTACTGGCCATGCTGATAATTTCTTGCATGTCTTCTTGGACGCACTCTTGTTTCTGTGGAAGGAGCATAGAGCAAGCCCTGCAAACAGCTAGATGGGCTTGGGATTTTGTCCCCACTGCATCTGCAAATGTACTGTTTTCACAGCACTTTTGGCAGATTTTGGTAGGATATGCTTTCAGTTCCAAGCTATCTGTGCTTCCCAGTCATGTGCCTCAGGGGCAAGGTTCCTGGCATGAAAAGAGAGTAGCAGAGGAGATCAGTACCTTTGCTGGTGTCCAGCTGCTGCTCCCTGTTCTGTGGGTGAAGAAGCAGATGTGGGCTTTGCAGCTCCAAGGGTTTGTCTGTCGGTTGGGATGAGGATTTGGGCTTCTTGATGAGGCAGTAGTTGGCTATGAGGGACCTGCTTGTATATGGACAAGAGAGTACTTGAGGGCTTCCTGATTACCCTTTTGCCAGTGATAGTGGTTCAAGTGGATCCTGTTACCTAACACCACCATTTTGGCTATGCACAGACACAGGCAGGCATCAAGGATCCAGATGCTTCTTGTTCTTGCTAGTATCTAGTGGAGAAAACAGTGCTACAGAAGTAGTCTGTTCTAACAACAGATAAGCTGCAAGGACAGTTTACCTTGGAAAATAGGGATTCCCTAGGTTTTGAGACATATGACTCAAGATTAAATGTTTTAAAGGCTGTAGGTTAAGTAACAGTTACGGTCCTCATTTGCTGGGTATTTTCCAGCATGTAAAGCAACCACTCTGCAAGTTCTGCTGTGATGCTTTATGCCTGCCCATTCCAGGGAGGTGACTCTGAAGTGGAGCTGGCAAAAGGGATTCTGGAAGGGTTTCTGTGGTAATTTATGGCAGAGGAGATTTTTACTGCAGAGGAACAACTCGGGACAGCACCGCTCTCTTCTGCCAGATTCTTGCTTGGAAAACTTTGCTGGCCTAGATGGCTTGAGCAGAGGATAAGGCCTCCCCAGGTAATCCCTGCGTCCTGAGTGCCCACATGGCTGTTAAGTGCAGCTCTTCATCCAGGCTGAGAATTGCCAGCCCTGATGGAGGGAGAATGAACAGCAGGGGAAATCCTTGAGGCTCATCTTGAATTGCGGAAGGATGTGGAGTGGGAAGAAGAGAGGGATAATTCAAGACAATTTTTTCTCTAAAACTGCTTTGTTGTTGTTTTTCTTTCATAGCAGCCAGTACTTAAGAAAATTACTAAGCTTGCATGTGACTCATGTCTCATTAGTAAGGATCTCCATGCTCATTTTTCAGGACTACAATCATGAGCAAAGAGAGGACGAAAGAACCTCTCAGCACCTTCAGACAGCAGTTCTGTTTCTGCTTAACCTGCAGAGGTGGGGAGGCTTTGTGTTGGTTTTGACAAGCCATTTCCTTCCCCTCCTCCCGTGTTCCTCAGTAGTCCTGTTTCTGCTCAGGAGTCTTCCTGGGGAAGCTGTGAACTGAAAACACTTGTGTTGCCTAAGGCCTAAAGGGCTCTGGCCTTGAAGATTCTCCTTATGGGACCATTTAAAATGTGTTGGGCAGATGCTATAATGAGAAGCCCTGTGGCTGATGAGAGCTGAGGGACAGCAGCCCCCTCCTGCAGGGACACCCAGGGGCTGCACAAGAGAGGGCTTGCCTAGCTATCTTCACTGAAGGAGAAAGCTCTCTACAGTGGGCTGTCAGCTTTCTCCTTCCTGCTCAGCTCTTACATTGGAAAAGGCTTTTTAATCTTTAAATGAAAGCTTAGAACTGGACTGATTGTGATCCCTGGAGTATATGTGTGTTCCCTGGCAAGATGACTAAGCCAAATGTTAATTGCTCTTGAAGTCAGTGTTTAATCAACCCATCTTGGGTCTGGCCACTTTATCTCTGTGAGGTAAAAACATCTCTTTAGCCATGCAGCAAGCACTAGAACAAAAATAATTAAAAAAAAAACCAAGAAAATGAGACTTTTAGAAGTGTCCCCACTGTGTCTGTGCTGGGGCCATCTCCATGGAGATGTTACCTAAATAACTTTCCAAATTGCTAGAGAAAATCCTCCCCTCTTCTGTCATACTGATTTTCAAGACCTTTGAGCGCTCTCAAAGAAATAAAAAGTAGGCATGGAGTGCAATGCTTTTTGCGTCGGTAGCTGGGGAGGAGTAGTACATTGCTCCTCAGCACAGGCACCAAACTCAGTGTTTCCTGGCACGTTCTAGTAGCACATCTGGGTAAGCTGCATCAGCTTTCTCCTGTCACATGCACACACATTAGTTGGTGCCAGGGACTGCGGGGGCAGAGCAGCAGTGCAGTGCTCGCAGACAGCTCCTGTTTGACCCTGTGCCAGGTGGGGTGTGGCAAGGTGAGGATGCTGCACCTGTGGGGTTGACCACAGAGGTATCTGTGGGACGTTGCACGCTGCATCAAGCCTTTGGATATTGCTTAGACCGCACTCAGTACATAGCAGAGTTGTGACAGTCAGTTTGCACCGGGGCAAGGGTGGCTTTGACGATACTCGGCGCTCACATCTCCCCTTATCTCAGATCCCACCTTGCAGGTGGAAACAGCTACCGCTAACCTCACGGTGCAGGAGAAGGAGTCCTTCCCACTGGACTGCAGTATCCTATCCCGCTCCAGTCCAGAGTCCCATTTCGCAGTGACATGGTACAACATGCAGGCTAAAGAGGCCAGTGGCCAGACGGAGGAGGACGAGGAGCAGGAGAGGGAAGCAGTGCTGACCGTGGGCCCCGATGCCATCTTCAGCACTGAGGCCAGTCGTTGGGAGGGGCGCCTGCGCTTCCAGAGGCTCTCAGCGGTTCTTTTCCGGCTGACAGTGCTGCAAGCCAGTGGAGCCGACACGGGGAACTACTCGTGCCATGTGGAGGAATGGCTGGCGGACCCCAGCGGCGTGTGGTACCGGCTGGCAGAGGAGGAGTCAAGCACGGTTGCTGTTCACGTGCAGGATGCAGGTGAGAAGAGGTGATGGCCCTCTTGGGGGCATGTCCCTGGCATCTCCTACATCTTTGGTTCAACCAAGATAAAAAGGCCAAGGAATGAATGGGCCTGGGTCTCGCCTGCACCAGGGCAAATATGTGGTGCCACTGCTTTTCCAACTAGGTTGATGGCTTATAGCTCAGCTCTTTCTCGGATTAAGCACTGCACTTGGCTCTGTGCTGGGGCTGCCCACCCCACAACACCACCTGGTGTGTCTGGAGTCAGTGGGGACAGACACTGTTCCCCCCTGGGGTTTAACCCTTCCCTGTGGGAAACACCCTGGAGTTTGGCTTGGCTGTGCACAGACGTGCAGGCTGTGGCACAAAGGTTTTCTCCCAGCAACTCCTGAAGCCATTGGTGGTTTAGAGGCTGCAGAGATAACTGAGGTGATGAGAGTTTCGTGGGCCCTTAAGGGACATACCCTGGGGTGCTGCTTCTGTGTACAATCAGTGAGGGAATCAGTGATTTGCAAGTCTCCCTGCTTTGTAAGATATCATAAAATCTGCACCAGGGAGGACTCTTCTCTAGCACTTATGAAACTCGTGGTGGGGATAAAGCCAAAACATGACCTGCAGCAACTTTCTTCTGCTAATCTGTTCTGCTATATTGGTATTTTTCTCAGAGCCCCACCTCCTCCATTGACACAGATTAATGAGTGTCTGGGTTTTTTGTTTCTAAAGAAGTTTTTAGGGACTGTGTTGCAGAGGAGCTATGAGATGTGACCATCCTGTGTCTCTTTCCAGGCTCCAGCTTGCAGTCTGTCATCTGCTCCAACGATGCCCTCTTCTACTTTGTGTTCTTCTACCCCTTCCCCATCTTTGGCATCTTGATCATCACCATCCTCCTGGTGCGGTTCAAAAGCCGGAACTCTAGCAAGAACTCTGAGGGCAAGAACGGGGTCCCCTTGCTGTGGATCAAAGAGCCTCACCTCAACTACTCTCCTACCTGCCTAGAGCCACCAGTCCTCAGTATCCACCCAGGAACCATGGATTAAACAGGCAGAGGCACCCAGGGGGACAAGCAAAGAGAGAAGCAGAGACACACCGGGAGCCTTGAGGAAGAGTGGGTTTTGTTGTTCTTGTTTCATTTGTTTCAGTGTCTGTGCTCTGACATGGCGGCTGAGCTCTGTGGAGCACCCAGCCAGCAGGGACGGAAAGGTCCAAGAACGTGCCACCTCATCCTGATGGACAGAGAGTCACTGCTCTTGATGTACATAGCAGATGCTCCTCTCGGACTAATTTTGTTCCCATCAGTTGCTGTCCTTTTGGCCGTTACTATTTTGTTGTTTCTTTTTTGGTCACTGAAAGAACTGTAGGCTTCCCCTGCCTTCCACACAGCAAGGAGTTCCAAGGGGGCATTTGGTCCTGGGATGATCTCTTTGGAAGTAAATGTATATGTTTTCCAAAACAGCCTGGTTTTCCTACTCAGACTCGGTGCCAAGGTGAAGAAGGTCTTTTCCCAAAGTGTGTAGCTCCTCCTAAAATAGATAAAGCCAGGTCCACCTACGAGGGGTTAGCTGAGCTATCAAGATGTCCATCTCAAAGACTGGCTCATACCCACTGTCTCAGCATCTTCTTGCCTCCATCTACTGTTCTCTCAGGAGGGAGCAATTCACCTTTTGGAGTGTTTCAAGGTCTTGGAGAGACTGAATATTGAGCACATTAGTGATCAGGACAAAAGCAATTTAGTTTGTCCCCAAGAACTGAAGGGAGGGATGGAAGGAGGACACCTGAAAGCTCTGACTTTGTTGGTAGCAAAGAAGGTTCTTGTACAGTCCAGCTTACCAGAGTTGTGCTCCTCCCTGGTATCCATGCTGCAACCTCTGACGAGGCGGGTCCCCTGTGTGCCCCAGTCGCCTGGGGACGAGTGGCTGGATCCAGTCTCTGAAGACTTCAATATGACCAAAGTAATGACTCTAGGAAGGGGGAAGGGAGAAGATCCATGGGTTGGGTTCACAGCCCCTGGATGGCTCCAGCCAAGGAGCCCAGTTGCAGCCATGCTGTGCAGCGAGGACATGCAATTAACCACCATGTGTCATGAGTTTCCCTGTGGCTTGCACTGCTTTCTGGTGTGAGCTTGGACAGGGTGAGGAACCTGCACCGCACTGGCACCCTGGGGGCTTCCTTGTCCCCTTGGGCTGAGAGAAATCTTCCCTGTGTGTGCACGTGCATCTGCCATTTTGAGTTTCTGGGGCTTGAGAAGGAGAAACCATTTTTCCATCAGCTCCCCATCCTGGCAGTCATCTGCTCTTGCAGGCAGTCGCTGTGGCAGGAAATGCTGTTCTTTCTGTGAAAGATATGGCTCTCATGAACCAAACCAGGGCTCTCACCACATGGGGCACCTGAGCTCCCGTGTACCCCTTAATGCCAAGTACCCCTGCCATGTCCTGTGGGGGAATCCGCCTCCTCCCGTATACACCCCAAGTGTTATGTCTGGCAGAAGAAAATGTTTGCCAAAAATGGCCTTTTGTTGTCTTCCTCAATGTCTTCCTGGCAAATCCAGCCATTTGTATTTTGCAGCATGGCTGAAGCCAACCAGGACGGACGGGCACAGCCGCAAGACTCCCTACACCTCACATGTGAGAGGTGCCATACCCACAGCCGTTGTCCTCTTCGGAAGTGTTGGACTGCTCTTTGTGAAGAGACCAAGACCTCAGTAGATGCTCTGTAGCACTAGTTGGTTAGACCCTGATGCCTTGATGTTTCAGAGGTGGTGAAGCCTCAGGTGGAAGATCTGCAGCGCATGTCCTCTCTTCCAGCTGGGAGAGGACCCATGTGGCCGTGGACTCTTCCATGCTAGGGCATTTGAAGTCAGCCACCTCTGCTCTTCCACTAGAACATTGGTTTCTTCTTCCACTGGGAAGCCCAAATTTCACTCATCCCTCTGCAAAGTCTGCCTCCTCGAGATGTAACTGCTTACTGACCCCAGCATATGCATAGTATCACACTCCTATATATATATGTACACACATATTGCACACCTGCACACTTGTCTTCCCTTTCTGGTTACGACATCTGCAAAGAGAGGAGTGGGATGAGAAGTGAATGGAAATGAAGAACCAAGGAGCGAATAGCAGCAGCTGAAGCCAGTGGGTACTGTTTTGTAAATGTAGTGTCTCCTGTACCTTCTGCTCTGGGGCAGGAACTGCAATTCACTTCAGCTTTAAAGGAAGGAAGAAGAGAAAATGAAGTCAGCAGGATCTGTTCTTCCCTGGGAGAGCACTGTGGTGCATCTGAGCCATGCTCCTCATCAGCGTGTCTGCCCCTGAGCAGGGCTCTCCTGGAGAGCTCTCCATGGCCCTGTGCCCCTGACTGGATTGGGTCCCTTCACAGCTCTGAGGTTCCAGCACCGAGCCCAGGCTTTCCTGGGCTTCCAGGTGGTCCTTGAATGTACCTTGCCGGTGGCGTTTCTCCATTGCTCTGGCAGATGCTGCCCAGTCTCAGACTTCTGTTTTTATTAGACAGACTCTTCCTGTAACGAGTTTTAACATGAAGCTTTTCAAACCACTCTCTCTGCTGTAACTTCCTGTAACAAAGCCAAGAAGAGAGATCCTCTATCCATGCATGATGTGGAAAAATATTTTGGATTTTTTTTTTTAAAGCAGACGTTTAACAAAATCTTTGTACTATGTTGCACTAAAACATGTTTTATACAACACACCGGAGAGCTGTAGTAAACTGTGTTGAAATTGTGAATCCTATTGCCACTGGTTTTTATCAGATTTGGGCTTTCATTATGCCTTTATGGACACGCCCTGCATAAAGGTGTGCTGAACACCCCCTTTCAGGCAGCCTCTCCCTTTCCCACCGCCCATTCCCTGATGCATTAACTCTTCTCCCGCCCTGGTAGTGCATCTCCTTTCTTGCATGCTGGAGCTTGCAGACACCTTACAGCCGCTCTTCATACTTCTCCCTCCCATCCCTTAATTCATCCCATAACAGAATATAACATTTAACCAAGGCACGTCAGGTCTGTTTATTGAATGGGATACACCATTTTTTAAATTGCTCTGAAAACAGGAAGTACTTTGCTCTGCCGTAATCTGGATTTGAAGAAAAAACTTTTTTTTATAGAATTATGCACAGCAAACGTTAAGCAAAGAATCTTTAGTAACCTTGATGTAAACGGAAGAATATTTCTCACTACAGAAGCTGCTTAAGTTGATGTAAAGTGCAACCTGTTCATTTTCATTACCCACTTTTACCTTGATTAAGGGTTTGGTTAGTAGTCTTGAACTCCCACGTTAACTGAAGTAGGGAAATAGTTTGATACATTCTCACCTGTATAGCAAAAGTGTTGTGACATTGTGCAAAATGCACTGCTGACACAGCTGTGAGGTTGGGTTTGGTTTTTTTCCAACATTCATTTAAAACAAAAAACTCTGCTAAAATAATTGTATGAGAGAGCTGCTGTCTCCAGGCCCACCTGGCTGTTTGCCTGCTCCCCTTGCACCCCCCAGCAGGTTGTCTTGGGCTGCATCTGCTATAGTCTCAGTGCTAGATGGCAAGTGGTGTCCCCAGCACTCCCTGGTGAAAGTACCAGTCAGGGAGCTTGGGCCAGCTTAGGCTTGCCGGGAGGCATTTGCAGCCCATGTACACTCCCTGCAGTCAGGTGTGCATCCCTGACCCTCTCAGGCGTGCTCAGATGGGCAGGACCCTGGTCTGGGGCAGCTTGAACGGGTTTTGCTGCTGGGGCATGGCTGCAGCGCGTGTCCCTGCTCCTCTTGAGGGCCAGGCAAGGTGCAGCCACCATGCAGTGGAGGAGGGATATCTCGGGGCTTGGCTGCTCCCATCAAACCACCTTGTAAGTGCTTCCCCCACCCACCATCCCCAAGCTGCTAGCTCCAAAACAGACCCCCATTGAGGCCAACATGCACACAAAAAAAAGCAGACCTGACTCTCTGGCTGTTGCTCCTGTGCTTTAACCCAGAAGGTTTGCAAATGGAGTTTGCTAAACCTTCAGGGAGCGCAGGCTGGCTGTGAGGTAAGCACATCCCTGGGGGCCCTGCTGCCCCCAGCTAGGTGAGGTGGTACAAGGCCTTGGCCACCTGCTCTAGGCGGTCTCTGTACTCAAGTTGGGCATAGAGGGAGTCATCGACACCCTGGAAGCCGTGCATGGCGCCCCACCAGCAGGCAGCAATGGCAGCAGTGGAGTCACTGTCCCCACCATGGAAGAAGGCTCGGTGAGCCAGCTCTGCCCATGAGTCCCCTGCACCCAGCACCGCATCATAAGCGATCATAGGGGCATCGTGCCCGCTGCTGCCCCCCCAGCCATCGTAGCTGAGGGAGGTGTAGAAGGAGTCTCTCTCTTCCACGCCATACCTTCGGGGGAAGGTGGGTGGCGAGATCCCGTCTGCTATGCCTCTCTCTGCCAGGTATTTTTCCCACTGCTCTTCAAAATAATGCCTGCAAAACAGGATGGAAGGGCTGTAAGAGACATCCCATGGCAGAAGCATGTATCTCAGCTCCCTGCTTGGTGCCAGCTAAAAACGTGCTGCATCAAGAGCCCGGAGCAATGGCTCAGCAAATGGTAGGCATCCCCCCATTTGTCAGACTAGGGACATGATTTCCAGTAAGAGGCCCAGGGACATATTTCAGTGAGTTAGATTTCCCCTCCCTCCAGCCACATGGGAGAAGGCAGCCCAGCACCTGCTGCTGTCGTGCTGCATGGGATTCAAAGGCTCAGAGTGAAAACTGAGTCATCCTCTGAGATCCAGAGTACCTCTGCCCTTCCCTGTGTGTGCCCCTGCACACACAGCCCCACTGAATATGCAACCAGATTTGGTTATGACTTTCAAACTAAAACAGGTCCTAAAGTCTGGTGCTCTTCCCCTGCTTCCATCTTTCATCAGGTCATGGTTGCTTGAAGTGACAAATCCAGCTACCTCATACTGGATCCAAAAAATGGCACAACTGCATGACCCAAACAAAATATGCTCGTTTTTGTTTTAAATTAAGCTAGAGGTACTCTGAATCTGTTCAGTCCCACAGCAGGCATGAGCTGCTCTGGGACTTTACCGTATGTTGTTACTGAAACTTAAGTATAAGCAGAGCTCACCCTCTCATACATGAGGTTTATTCCAGTTTTAGCAAAGCCCAGTTCTGGAAGTGCAGCTCACCATTGCCCCATGTTCTCCTCCACGAAGAAGCCAGTGTCCCGAACATAGGCTTTTGCCTTTGGCAGCACCTCCAGCAGCTGCTTCCCCCACGCCAGGGGGGGCACGCCGTTCACCGCAAGGGCTGTGAAGAGGGCTGAAGCCAGTGACCCCAGGTAGCCAGTAGGATGGTGGTGGGTCATTCGGCCGCTCTCGATGCTGACTTGCACCAGGGTGTCCATCTCACTGGTGTGGCAGAAACGTAGCCCGATGCACATGGCGCGCATAGCGGCCCCGCAGCCTCCTGCATGGGGGCTGAACAGGGTCCTCCAGCCATCCAGCCGCTCTGGATCCAGCTTCAGCGCATTTGCCATACTCATGGCACCTGAACAGGGGGGACACAGCCCAAGAAAGAAAAGAAACAGAAACATGTATCAGTAGGAGACAGGGTCATGCAGCTTGGGAACTGAGGGAAGACAGGCTAGGTAGCGGAGAAGGAGCATTACTCTGCATAAGGGATTTGAGCTTCCCTTTAAAACCATCAGCTGTCTACTCACACGTGTATCCTGCCTTAAATTGCCAGTGCACCAAACATATACCCAAGCAGACATGGTAATTCCTGTTCATGAAAATAATTAGGGGGTAAGAAACAAGTCCACTGCTGATTTATTTACATTAATTTTATTTACATATCATGTTGTTTAATAACTTCTCTATAAAATACTATATATATTAATACATGCTATATATAATACATACTATATATATTAGGTATATTATGTACACATACATCTAAATACCTAGATAGATATATATAAATAGAAACAGGAGGTTTGGAGGATCCCTGACCTGAGGCAGGGCTAAGTACCTCTGCTTTTTTAGTTGTTCAGCCTCTTTACCGGACCTTTTAAAGGCAGAGACCCCACAAGCTCCCAGGCATCTTTCCCATTGCATCACTGGTAGGAAGTGTTTTCCAGCTCTCCCTTGCTGCAGTTTAAGGTTGTCAGAAAGTGATGAATGTATTACTTCTCACTGCAACATGGTCTGCATAACTGGCTTTACTGTACTCCAATAAGCTGAAGAACAACTGTGCTAGGTGAGACCAAATGTTTGTCCAGCTAACTATCCCGTCTTCACAGTCACTAACAGATAACTATGGAAAGACTATAAAAAATGAGGCAAATACAGTGTTCTCCCAAGAAGACCTGCCTGGCTTCCAGCAGATACAGGAGTACAAGCTTGCTTGAGTCATAAGACAGAGCCAAAGTGGTGTGTTCAACTCCTAACATACCCAGCCACCAGGAAACAGCCTCCTCAGCTTGAACCCATGCATGCCTTCAGACTCCTTCAACATCCCATGATAATCAATACCATGATTTGGGTATGCAAAGCACTTCCTTTTGTTTTAAACTGCCATTTGACAATTTCCCTAAATTCCCCCCTTACTTTTTTCACTACAAAAAATAACTTTTCATGCTCCATGGTATTCAGGATTGTACTTTATCCCCCTTCCTCAGTTTTCTCCTGCTCCAAGCCCATACCCTAGTCCAATTTTGCCTCTCTTCTGGTGGGAAGCCAGCCAGTTTCCCCAGCCAAGACTTTAAAACATGTTTTGAGAGCTAAGCCCAAATGCGTGTGTGCAAGGAAGAGGAAACAGGTTTGAAACATTAAATTATCTTTGTTTGTCTTCTACCTTGCCTTTTTCTCCTAGTCTTCTCTTCTGGCCAAATCTGAAATGCTGATCTTCCAGATGAAGCTAAATGAAGGGCAGGTTTCAAGCAGCTGCATTTAACCTTTAATGTACTGGACAATGGCAAAAGTAGGACTCAAAAAAGTAGTCTTTGCCCAACCCCAACTTGCCCAGTCCTCTCTCAGATACATAGGGTAACAGCAGCAGTTGGCATGCTCTCACACCCAAAATTAGACCATTGCTCCTATACTTTGCTGGGACATGTAGCTGATAAACTTGAGGTTGCTCTGTTACTTTGAAAGTCAAACTAAACAGAGTAGCAAGGAAGAAGCCTGGTTAAGAAACTTCACCTAACTCTACAATTACCTTTGGTGCAATCTGATCACTGTGATCTGGGACCTTGCTCATCACAGGTAGGTACTGCAACAAGTACTCTGCAGAGCTCTTCACTTTGCACTTTCATGTATATGCCTGGCAGTAGGATTTAGTATATGGCAGCCTATTGGACATGCACATAGCACATACAGCACCCTTGTAACTGAAATATCTTCAAACACAGCTTGAAGATTGGCTTCTGAACATAGGCTGAAAAAAATAATGGCTGGCTGCTGTCAGTAATAAGGTCACATGCTACTCTATGTGTCTTGAGCATCTTTCTTTTCCAACAGTGTTGTTATATTTACTAGATGAGAGCAGGACACAGCCCTCTGTGCAGAGGGAAGGGGTGGACCAGCTCCCCGTGAATGGCTGTCTCAAAACTGAGAAAGCCGCTTGATCCTGTGGCTGTCAGGCTATTTGCCCTGCAGCCTCTCAACCGAAATCAACTTCGAGAATGGAAACAGCTATGCGAGTCTCCCCCACAGGAAAAAGCGGGCTGCTGATCAGCGCAGCCCACAATGTTGGGCCACTTCAGCTCTCATGAATTCCCCACAGCATGACCCAGGCATGAACCAGGCCTGCCATTGCAGCAGAGTCATCCGTGCTTGCTGTGCCAGCACATCAGCCTTTGGCGTGATGCTGCTGTCAACACCCTGCCCAGTGGATGAGACCTGTTGGTTTTGCAGTGCCACGCAGCCAGCCAACCCCTGATACCCGTCCAGATGGTTTTGAATCAGGAAATTACGTTCTGAAAATCCAGCAAATCCTGGTTAGGAATGCTTTGTACTAACAACAATAAGAAGCTAAAAGTAACCTCAGGAGGGTACTGGTCTGACGAAAGAAGAAATACAAGCAAAAAGCAGTGCATGAAGAAGTTTCAAGTGCAACTGGAATAGGCTTCCAGTCCACTCATTTAGACTTCATGAGCACAGACAGTAACAGTTCATCAATCAATACACATAAAAAAGTTAATTAAAACAACCACATAGTGGTAATTCCACACACTTGGACCGAAAGGCAAAGTTTCTGAAGCATGTGGTTTCCTGGAGAGCTGTGGAGGCAGATGCAGTTGTACCATAAGAAAAGAAGTATGCCCATGCTTATGTCACTTAATTCACTGGCTTTGTTACCTGCAAATAACAAAGAATTTGGGGCTGTGGCACATCACAAATAGCAATAACGGATATAGAGATTATCTTGTCACTGAATTAAGACAATGAGCTCTCTCCTGGGGACCCTGCCGTGGCTGTTTGATGACTCATTACACTGTGGGAATCTCTTTGTTGCTTCAGGTTTTGGTTTTCAAGTCTGGACTCCCTTGTGTGGGTGAGCAATATGACTTCCCCCACTGTTCTGGGGAATCTCCTCTCTGTTGGGTGAAAGTTGCAGCAGCAACTTTCCATTCTCAGCCTTAAGGGCTACAATTAATTCCCCAGTAAATACTTGCTTTGGCCCCAGCAGCATCACTGTGGGTTATGTTCTCGCTTAAAATCCATGTACTCTAAACTGCCAAAAGAAGTTATTGACATGCAACTTGTACCATTAGGATTGACCAATATGGCATAGAGACTGCAGACAGCTTTTCAGGACATGGATTAGGTATTCCCTTTGTAGTACGTCAGTGGGCATTAAACTGCGAAGTGTCAGGATTTATGCTTTCAGAGCTGAGTGCCTTTCCTGTGGCTGGAACAGGAGCACTCCAGAATGCTGTTGAAAGAACATTCCCAGCAGAAGTCCATTTTTATCACATTACTTTCCCTAAAATCATACAAGGTTGTGTTCATGGACACACTAAAGAACTTGCATTTCTGTCTTTAGCTAGATAATCTGACCTTTCGTTGTCACTCAAATTAGTGTACATACCAAATTCACTTGAAAATCCTTCACTTCCAAATGGGAACTGCTTTTGGACATACTGCAGCTCAGTTCCGCACAGAAGGACTGCGGCAGGTGTGCTATTATCCTTCTCTATTAATTACTAACAATGAAATTTTAGGTTCTCCTTTTCGTCTCAGGTTTTAGTCTCCAAGCTTAGATAGTGGAGGCAAAACCAGCTTCCAGGTGCTGTCTCACTGCCAGCTGTGGTTAGTCCACCTTGCAGACCCCATCAGCAGGGGGGAATTAAAAGAAGCTTCTTTGCTAAGACAGCAGTGAGTCTTAGAAGTTTAACCTGCTGACTCCTGCTATTTTGGCAAGTGTAATTTCCCCTTCCTAAATATTTTACTAATTAGGCCACTCCAACAACTGAAACTGTGCTAAGGAATACTGATAGTTTAGTTCTTTACAGGAGAGTAGGAGGTCACTGTGGAAAGGTAAGCAGAATAAATTCCTGCTCAAGTTTCCAACCTGGTTTACCTTGGAATTGCACAGGTGTGAGTGACACTGTGCTCAGTGGCCCTAAGAGAGCAATGCAGGATTTCACCTTTCCCATATTTAATGTCAAGCCAGAACATTCTTAATATATTCTGGGCACTCCAAATAGGCACGTGTAGGACGTTTCTTTTTGATGTATAAACTTTGCATAGGATTGAGAGTTTCCTGGATACTTCACACTGCCTACGCCTCTCAAACTGGAGGCCCAGCCTTAGCAGCTCCAATTTAAGTTTAACAGAAGCATCCAGAAGAGGCTGGGCCATGAACACATTGATGGGGAAGAGTTGGGACAGCAGGCCACGGTGAAACAGGAAATACAGGAATATGTAGTATATGGCTTGACTACTGCAGCCTGTGAAGATGCTCTTCCTGAATACTGCCACGCACTGCCAGTCCCCGCTGCCTGTGACCCAAACTTAGCACAGTTGTGCCAAGAGAGGCAGTACAGAGTTCAGACAATACAAATGTGGTCTGAATACCCTGTTGCAGAAATCAGACATGCATAGCTAGCCAAAAGTAGACTTCGCATTTAATAACCTTTATTCCAAGCAAGGATCTTTGTGCCTTTAAATATACTTTAGGTGTAATTTATTACAGAAAGTGCTTTGTTAATTCTCTGGTTTTATGTGTTGCTTTAACACAGCATCTCAGGGTGTACATTATACATGGCTGAATTTGCATTTTTCATCCTCTGAATGTAAGAAAAGACACATCCCCAGTGCAAAAGCCATCATGCTTCCCCTGAGTTCAAGGTCAGGCCTCAAACTTGCCTGTAAGAATGTTTTGTAGATGTAGGCAAAACATTATCTTTTTTATCTAGTTCAGAGAAGCCCGAACTACTTCAGCTTGCCTTATTTTGTTCTCTCTAGTTCATCCTGAAACAACTACTGAGTGTGGAAAACTCTGCCTTTTCATGAAATACAGTTAATATTATAAACAGTCAAAAGCAGAGCCAGGCCCAGCCTCAGTTCCAAGCTGCAAGAAAAGGAGAGATATTAGTGAACACACAGCCCTGCCCAGGCAGTATTACAGCAGGCTTACCTGGGGCTCTGCCCTTCATATCATTCATGCACTCCTTATAGTTCTTTGCCATCAGAGAATAGAGATGTGCTAAATTTGGGGTTTTCCCAGCAGCTACCAAGGCTTCGGCTGTGGCCAAGTGCATCACTGTATCATCACTGACTTTCCAACCTTGGATGTTCAAGTTGCTGATTCCCCCCATCTCCGCCAGCTCCTTGTGGATCGCTGGACCACTCTGCAAGAACTCCCATTGCCCATTCTTATAGCCCAGCGTGTCACCAACTGCACTCAGCACCATCGATGCCACATAGTTTTCCATCTCCTTAGGACATAATTTTTGCCCCAGGACTGCTTCAATGCAGAAAACACTATGAAAAAAAAAAAAAAAGGGAGATAGAAGACAGTGTCTTTCCTAGTTGAGGATGAGCCTCCACTGCTAAGCTCTAGCAGGCTGGATACTCAGCCTAGTGCCTGCACCTTCCTCAGAGGACATACTTCTTCAACCCAAATGCCTCGCCAGGGACCTCTGGCCGCGTGGGTAAGTGTGTGGCAGCCCAGCCCTGGGCCACGGGCAGCTGGCCTTATCCTCCCTGGGGTTGTGGCAGGAGCCCAGGATGACGCTGCTCGTCACAGCTGGGTCACAGACTGACAAGCAAGGGCAGGCCTGCAGAAACGGGTGCAGGTTACCTGACTGTATCCACGGCCACTGCTTCTCTGAGTACGACCCACAGCACAAGCAAGGAGGTTCGATCAGCTCCTAGCAGCTTTCCTACCCTTGGGATAATGTGAGGCTGAGCTCGGTCAGTTTCAGCCAGGCAGTAAGCACCGGGTCCCTTCACCGGCCGGCTACGGGCCGAACTGGCGATCCCAGCGGGTACTTCCAGCGATATCCCCCCACAGCCCACGCTTCTCCTCAGGCTTCGCTGCGGCACACGGCGAGGCCCTTTGGTTTGGCCCAAGCAGAAGCAGGGAAGGCCGTCGGGGCCGCCCCCCGGCCGCAGCAGTACTTACGCTGCTACCCCTGCCAACAGGGCCGACCGGGGCCTGCCCCGCCACGGGAGCTGCAGGAGGCTCCGTAGGGACATCCGGCGCGGAGAACAGGCCTCGGCGGCGGAGGCTGCCAGTGGCTGTCCAAGGTGCCTCCGGCCGGACCTCCCCTTCCGCGGCTTCCCGGGGCGGTGCGACCAGCCCGGCGGCGGAGGCTCCTCCTCGGCAGCCGCCAGGTCCAGGACGCCGCTCCTTCGGTGGGACCCGGCCCTCCGCCGCCCGCTGCCCCCAGTCGCAGCCAGGCTGTCCTCGGCGCGGGCAGAGGGTCTGGCGCCCGGGGCCCAGGGCTGGGAGGCGGGTGCCTTCGGCCATTCTCGGTATTGTCTCATTGCTAGGCTTTGCTATGGCCAGCCGTGCTGCTTTACTCTGTATCCCGAGGTGCCAGGCCATCCCACTGCCTTGCTTTGTCGTTTGTTTTTTATGATGGTGGTGGTTAGGTGGCTGAGGGCATCTAGAGAATGGGCAACGAAGGGACAGCAGCAGGAAGCAGGCACAAGAAACGGGATTGGGCACGGCTGGAGTTTCGTTTTGCAGAGGTTGAACTTGTTCACCTAGTGGTGGTCACTTGACGTGCTGCACAGCAAGTCTTAAGAGCCCCAGTTCACCCAGAAGGTACCAACCAGTGCCTCTTCCATGAACGGACACCCCCACCCCAGCCCCAGTTCCCCGTGCCTGTGAAAGAGCTTTGGTAGTTTCTAAGCTACAGCCGTGGGGGATTTCAGGGCAATCACAAATGTAGCGCAGAGTCCCTGGGGAATTTGGGGGCAAGTGCGAGTGGGGTCTGGAGCGGGACCCTGGGGGATTTCAGGTAACAGAGTGCAGGGCTGCATGGGCGCTTCACCCTGGTGGCTGTGGTGGTTCAGTGTGCCGCGCAGAGTTAGGTGTCTGCTGCTCCTCTTCACCGTGCTGCTAACGTAGAGTTTGAGAAGAAGTTGTAGAGCACATAGTACTAGAAAAGAAATGGGAAAAGAAGCAGCTGGTGTCTGGGCACTGCCAGCGGTGCCTGCTGGCGTTTTGTTCTTCTCCTCTTAATTTTGTTTTATGTAGAGCAGCTCTGAATTTACTCAAGTTGGTGCAGTGCTTAAGAGCAAAGCGGGATTTTTCTCTCCTAAGGATTAGGCCTATGAGAGGGAACACTGCTGCCGCCTGCTTTTGGCTGGCTATCTATGAGGAAGTTTCTGCTGCAGCCTGAGCAGCAGAGGAGCGGAGAGGAAAGAGGCAGGGTTCCCCAAATAGACAGGAAGATGGGAGAACGCCTCTGCATCAGCACAAAACACCTGCAGCCCTGGCATCTTTGTATCTCATCGCTGTTTCCTGGTTCCTGAGCTCTTTCAACTTCCTAAGAACTCAATCCAAGACGCGCAGTGCAGTTAAGTGACATCTGAGCTATCACAGAAAAACATCGAGAGCTCCTTGCTGACAGACAAGTGGACAATGTCCCAGCAGCAAGAACCATTGGCAGGAGCCTGCAAACTTGGGGTGGGGATTGCAGCAGCCATCAGTCTCAAATACATGCATTGATCCCA